AATTGTTCATATCTCTTAGGGCTTGATCTATAAATTGAGGAGCATTCAGGTAGGGTGCATAAATGTCAATAATTGCAATCTCTTCATGTTGAGTGTTTCCCTTGACAAATAAATAGTTTTCATCCTTCTCTTTCCTTAACTTTTGTTTCTTTAAAACCTATTGTATCTGCAAATAAATTTGCAACCCTTGCTTTTTTCTGATTTCCATTTGCCTGTATTATAGATGTCCATTCCTTCACCCTGTCCTTTTTTTTTTTTTTTTTTTTTTTTTTGAGACAGGTGTCTCAAGGTGTCACCCAGGGTAGAGTTCCATGGCATCACAGCTCAACTTCAAAACACCTGAGTCTTTTTTATCCTTTGAGGTAAGATGAGTCTCTTGTAAGAAAGAGACCTGGCCTGAATTTTTGTATCCAGTCAGCCAACCTATGCCTCTTTAGAGGACAATTTAAACTATTCACATTAATTGAGAGAATTGATAGGTATGGTTGTGTTTTAGCCATCATGTTTTCCTTTCTTTCTTTCTTTCTTTCTTTCTTTCTTTCTTTTTTTTTTAGAGACAGTCTCACTTTATCGCCCTTGACAGAGTGCCATGGCATCACAGCTCACAACAACCTCCACCTCCTGGACTTAAGCAATTCTCTTGCTTCAGCCTCCCAAGTAGCTGGGATTACAAGTGCCCACCAGAACACCCAGTTATTTTTTTTTTTTTGGCAGTTTTGCCAGGGCTGGGTTCGAACCCACCACCCTTGGTATATGGGGCTGGCACCCTACCCAATGAGCCACAGGCACCACCCAACCATCATGTTTTTCAAAGGTCCAGTGCATATTTTCAATCCTTTCAAAATCACTATGGAAGTTAGGTTTCAATTAATACTGGGTGAGTTTACTTCAGTGGTAGACCATTGTGTATAAAAAAAGGGGTCTGAGAATTTCCTGGGGAGCTGGTTTAGTTACAGAAAATTTCCTTAACATGTTTATGTCAGTAAAGTATTTGATTTCTCCATCACAAATGAAACTCAGTTTAGCTGGATACTGGATACAGGATTCTGGGATGAAAGTTTTTTGTTTTTTTTTTTTTTTAGAAGATTGAAGGTTGATGACCATCCTCTTCTGACTTGAAAAGTTTCAGCTGAGACATCTCCAGCCATTCTGGCTACTTGTAGAATTTTCTTCTTCAGATTAACTTTGGCAAAGTTAATTACAATGTATCTAAGAGATACTTTATTTGGATAAAGTCTTGCTGGGTTTCTGAAACTATATACCATTTGAATTTCTGTGTCTCTTGCAATGCTTGGGTAATTCTCCTCCATAATATCTTGGAGTAGAGCATCTGTGCCTTTAGGACCATCCTCTTCTCCTTCAGGAATTCCCATAAGTCAGATATTTGATCTTTTGGAATGATCCCACAACTCTCTCAGGGAATGTTTTGTTCTTGTTTTCCATCTTTCTGACTCTTTGAATGCTTGGGATTGTTCAAAAGCCTTGCCTTCAATTTCTGAGATCCTTTCTTCTGCCTTGTCAACTCTATTACTGAGGGATTGTACTATACTTTGAAGCTCCTCAAAAACTTTTTCAGTTTCTTGAGCTCTGCTGTATCTTTTCTCATTATGTCCATGGTGACTTTGTCTTTGAATTCATTAATTCCTTGAAACAACTTTTAAACTATTCTTTGGATTTCTATTGCCATCTTTTCCTCAATTCTATTCATCTTAGAATAGATTAAGTCTATTGCCATCCATATTCTGAATTCTATTTTTGACAATTCAGCTGTGTGTCTATGAATGGCATCTTCTGTTGTATCTCCTTCATCATTCCTTGGGCGGAGGGGGAGTTGATCTACTCTGATCATTCATGTTGCCAGAGTTCTTCTGCTGTTTCCACCCCATGAATATTTTCTCTAATTTGGCAATTAAAAACTGGTAGGGTGAGATTGGATTGGGGGGTTCCAGAAGGTAGAGTTAAACAGCCTTTTACCAATGAGCTGGGGCTTGTGATTGTGGCTTTTCTCCTACAGCAGTGGTTCTCAACCTGTGGGTCACGACCCCTTTGTAACAATGAAAATACATCCTGCATATCACATATCTCCATTATGATTCATAACAGTAGGAAAATTATAGTTATGAAGTAGCAACAAAAATAATTTTATGGTTGGGGGTCACCACAACATGAGGAACTTTATTAAAGGGTCACAGCATTCGGAAGGTTGAGAACCACAGTCTTACAGCCATATGAAGGTCCCTTTCAGAGCAACAGCTGGAGACTCTGAGGCCTTACTTGGTGAGATAGTAGAAGTTGGCTCCATCGTGAAGTCAGCCAACCTCTCCCCTAATAAGTAGCAGTATTCGACTGAAATCTCAGCTGGGGAGAGATACAAGCAACTGTGGCATCCCACCCCTCACCAGCAACAGATGGAAAGTGTCAATCAGTCCTTTCCCACTACAAAACAACCACTGCTCAACCTCAGAGTGTCCCCAGGTGAATAGCCCAGGTCAAGAATTCTCATTAGATTGTCAGGCACTACAATCACTGCTCAACAGGGAGCATTCACAGGGCTTCTAGCAACCTAGTACTAGAAATCCACAAGCAGTTCCATCCCATAAACCTGAGGGGATGGAACTGATCCCCTCTGATAAGCCACCAATTCAGGAAAGATCACCTACCAAAGTCATAAAAAAGACATCATTGCCTCCACTTGCCACACACCACCCCCATTCATCTCTCTCCCACACATCCCTCTCTTCCCGGGCCCCCACTTCCACTCAAGTCACTGTTTGTGTGCTGCTGTCCATTGGCACAGGCCTCTCAGGGAATGACCAAACACTCTGGGCTCTGCAAGGGGAATACCTTCAGACCACCAGGTGAGGGAGGAAGGGTGGGCTAGGAGCTCAGAATTGCAGAGAAAATATTTGTGTAATTTTATGCCAGGCAGGATGATGCTGAGGCTCACAGGTGCAACCTCCCTGGAGGAGGCCTAATGTTTAGTGACTTTCCCCCATGGGGTAAAATGAGAGGTCTTTTGTCCCCTGCTCACATGCAAAGAGCCCATAGTGATCCTTCCCTTTGGGGGAGGGGTCTTTCATCCTCTTGGAGATGGGCTTTGTACCTGGAATTTGTTTTCTTGAATCCTCTTTCTTGGGGTCATAGCTTGCCTCCATAGAGATGATGTGCACATGTGTATCTTCTTTCTTAGCTCAGCTCCCCACATTTGGTTTCAATGAGTCCACATCTGTCCAGAATCTCTCTCTCTGATCAGGAGCCTCTGGCAAAAGCTGCTTCTAGTCAGCCATCTTCCTTCCTCCCCTAGGGACAAACTTTTAAAGGGGACCCTGAATTGCAGCAGAATAAGCATTGCCTGTGATTAGACCTAACACATTGGAGGTACTGACCCTGACCCCAGGGGCTAGAAGAGTGGGGATACCAGGGCCAGGGCCCAGCTGCTGTCATTTAACCTGTGCATCTCCCTCTACCCTCCCCTCAATGCCCAGAGTTTTCTTCCTCTACTGGGAGCCCTGCCTTCAAAACTTAAACTTAAATGGGAGCCATAATCCATAAACTATACGGGAAGGTTGATAAACCTGAGGGCAAATGAAGATCTCAGCCATAGCCTCTGGAGCCTAAATTTGGACTCCTAATTTACAACTCCAATTGTAAAGTGAGTTACAGATGGGGGTCTTCTGGATTAAGCCAGAGACTTCAGAAGGGGGCTTAAGTGGGCTTGGTTCAGTATCCCTTGTCAGTTTCTGATGGAAATATATGCAAACCGTCTCTATAGTAAAGCCACCTTGATCTCAGGCCTCAGGATTTCCATATTAAAATTCACAAAGACTATGAACATTTCTCTAGAAACCACCAAAAGTGATTTAGTGATTTTTTTGCTGAGAGTCAGAAAAAAAAAATCTGATTTACATTCTGTATCAGTCAGGTTAGGCCAGGTTATGCTGCAATAACAAACACTTCCAAAATCTTCATGGCTGAATGATAAGTGGATCTCATGTCTATTCCATCAGCTCCAAGTCTGGGCAACCCTCCAAGGTCAGCTTTCAGAAAATGGCAACCATTAGAATTCAAAAAAGATGGTTAATTTCAATTATAGGTGAAGTTAATAATCTTCTAATTACTTAGGTCATGGAGGGAATGGTAAAGATCAACACATTACTTGTAAGAATTAAACATGTTAGGGCATTTATGGAATAATTTAAAGTAGGGCATAGGAGATATATACACTATGTAATAATTCTAGTAAATCCATGGGTAGCAACTAAAGTAGAACAAGAGAAAATTAGAACTACTCTATTAGATGAAGTGATATTTTTAAGAGAATCTTAACATTTTAAAATTACAGGATAATGATACCATTACTTATGCTCAATTGTTTTCAATTTCTTTATTCAATGGCCTCCTTTTCATTAAGGTAGTCAGACCTACTGGTACATCCTAGAAAATGTATTTTTGAGGTCAGTGAGGTCTTTTGCTCCCTTTGTGTCTAAAATACCATGCTTCACTATAACAGTGTTCTCTTTAATCCTACATTTTAGACATCTTTTTGCATTTGTTAGAATGCAAATCTTACAGGAGATATAAACATTGGAATTATCAATGATTATTGCATTAAAATGAATATCAGACCTCATTCTAAAAGAAAATGTTTAAAGGAAAGAGAGGTTAGTGGAAGAAAGCAAACAATGAATGTATGTCCCAATACTGAAGGAGAGGAGTTCTCTGGGAAGTGGGCAAGGTTCAGAAAAAAAGAGAGATCAGTTAAAAAATCATTTTTCTGACACAAACTTTGCTGTGGAATCTGCTGCTGTCTAAGCCTCTGAGTTCTAGTAATCCTGGTTCAGGATAAAGAGAATCCCACTGCTATTGTTTCTGTTGTTTCTATTTCTGAGGCTGCAAAGTACAAACAGTGTGACGTTCTGACTTGCCCCGCCTTGCCACTTCCTGTTCCTCCTCCCTCTCAGAGGACGCTCCTCTTTCAAGACCAGTCCTCTAGCTAAGCTCTCTAGCTCCAGGATAATTTGCTAAAAAATGTAAGCAAACGTTGGCTTTGTCCTCCGTGTCTTCTTATACCTTGGCCTTGGAAGCTTTCATTTGCATCCTCCATCCACTCCCACAAGGAGCTTATTGTGTGTTGGACTCAAAGAGAGAGACCGACCTAAAGGGAGAGGCAGTGTGTGGCTCAGGAGACAGGAAACGTGGACCTTCCTTCTGCTGTGGGTTGGCCCAATGGTAAGTCTGAGTGTGTGTGTTTACATATATGTATGCACGTTCTATATGTGTGTTTGTGGGAGTGGTGTGTGTGCTGTATAGGTATATCTGTGCATGATTACATGTATAAGTGCATGATGTGTATGTGTGTTTGTGGGAGTAATATGTGCTTTGTGTATATCTGTGTGTTTAACGTAGGTGTGTATGTGTGTGGAAGTGGTGTGTGTGTGTGTGTATGATTTGACAGAAAGAGTTGTGACCAACAAGTCAAGAAAACTTTGTGCTTTGCAGCAATCTCACTGCTTAATATTTGGCAAGACACCTCTGTGAATTTTGCTTTCTTCCTGAACAACATGACAAAGTTGGTTGTCCATCTTCTGAGGTAGAGACAACAAATACAAAGTGTGACCAATATGTGAGGTGCTGTTTAGGGTGGGGTCTAGGTAGAGGCAGCAAGGCACCTCGGGTGCAGATCAGTTTTCTGGGCCATGGAGGACATGGTGCAGAGTCCCTGAAATTTGCTCCCAGGTGCCTCTCGCCCCCAGTCATGCTGCACCCAGTCTTTGTCTTTTGTTGAGCCACCCCTCTCTCTAATATACGGAATGAAATTATGTTGGTGAAGAGCTGTCTCGGTTTCCACCAGGGATATAAGAAAGACAGGGACAAAGAGATGGAAAGGCCACAGTTTGCAGGCTACCAGTTCACAGATTTAAGAGGCACTGACCTCTCTTAGAAAGGTGAAACACTGTTTCTTCCCAGAACATGGCTGTCCAGGTCTGAGTGAAGTTGTTTATCAGTCCTGCTTATTTTCACTTCCTGGAAAGTCACCAGACCTTCCTAGACTGCCTCCATTCACAGCCTGTCACTTTAGAGCTGACCTGTATTGCAGAAAGACACCAAACATAAAGCAGTACACCCACTGACACCCTCCCCCCCACCCCCACCCCACCAGCTAGCTCCAGGGACTTGGAGAGGACCAGAGTGTCTGCCAGTGGACAGAGAACGCCCAACTATGCTGTGGCAGTAAGAAAACTGTGTCTGCTGAGGTACCCCCAGAGTTAGGCTCTCTCACACCCCAGAACTTTCACCTAGATCTGTTTTATCTGGCTTTGAATGTTCTACTTGTTCTGTAAAACAGTCAGGGTCATGCTGTTTCCTCTCTAATGCCGGAGAATGATGCAACACTACAGGCTCTTGATTAGAGAAATGTGTAAATCTGTGACACAAGGATACATTGCTCTTTCATTATTTTAGAATGATGGGAGCCTAACTGGTACAAAGGACTACAAGTTGCTCCAAAAACAACTTATAAAATGTGTCTGGATCTTACAGGAGAACAGACCTTCACAAGTATCTGGTTCAGGGCCAATATTCTCACTGATGGGAGGTTGAGGCCCAGGCAGACCTAACTATGGCTGCACTGAGCACTGAGGGGGCTCTGACTTCCTTGTGGCAGTGCACCACAAAGGTCTTAGTTGCTGTTATCTTCCTCACAACTAGCCACCCAGCTTGGCCTCCTGCAGTCCTCACTGCCAAGCCTTCTCCTAAGGCCCACCAAGCTGGCCCTTCCCAGTGACTTCTTGCCTATTCTTGCCCTCCAATCCTGTGGCTCTCCTTCTCCTCCTTTTCCTCCAACAACTCTAGACCCTCCATCTATCCAAATTCCATCCATTCCTCAGGTTCTGGGCCACTCATACTTTTCATGATAAAGACCACAACAGGGTATTGAGGAGGGCAGAAGTAGGGTCCCCAAAGTTAGGCAAAGAATGTCTCAGACCCCTCCTTCCCTCTCCTCCCTCATTCCCCACTCTACCCCACATTAATGTCAAAAACTTCCCTCTGGCAAGAGAAAGGCAAACAGTAGATGCATATTGAAAACTCAGATGGAAAATAAGTAAAACATATTCTTGTTTTCTCTAGATGGAGGAAGAAGAAGAATATGAAATAATTCACCTGAACAATCCTCTAGGAGAACTGTCCCAGGATCCTACAGGTGAACCGTCAGACAGTAAGACTGCTTCCTTTGCAGAAGGAACACATGAGACTGGTGCAGGTGAGGATTCTTAGATGTGCAAGTGGGACAGAGTTCTACCATATGCTGTTCTTTGAAAGGAAGCAGATGTCCCCCTATCACAGAGATTGTCCTACCTCAGCCACCACAGGAGGGCCCATTTTTTCTCACCTGCCAAAAACGAGGAAAAAGACCCTCTGATAGATATAGCAGTTAAAAGAAGTGAGAAGTAGCACTGTTCACCAAATCTCCAAGCCAGTACCAAAGAAAAGGGTCTCCACATTCTGGACTTTCCTCCTCAGGAAAGCAACTGGCCTCAGACCAAGGCTTGAGTGCCAACAGATCTTGCATGGGTGTTTGGCTGACTCAAGTGAGAGCCATCAGGGGCATAAGGCTTGAAAGCACCACTGTGAGGACTAGTGCAACGTCCTCTGCCGTTGCCTCAGAACTGGGCATAGCCTTCCCACCCGTGTCCCTCCTCCCAAGAGGGAAGGGTCAGCACTTAATTTCTGATGGGCCCAACTTCATCATTAAGCTGGGAAGGCAGAATTTAGGAATGCTGGAAACTCATCTATTTTCTTGCCAGAAAAAATAAGTTGGGATTCATTATATATTTTAATATAAATGATTTTTCACTTTATGAACTTAAATGGTCTGAGCCATTTGGAAAAATTCATATCAACCTACCACCTAGGGAATTATCCATATGTGTGATAACACCTGTTTTACCTTTTCTTACAGCAATCAAGGTTTGATATTACTTTTAACATCCCAGAGCTCAAGTGATGTATTTATTTGGCTTTAGTTAAAGTTAGTGGTGTGTGCTGGCTCCAGGCTGCTCAAATAGGAGTTACCATCTTCCTCCTCCTTTGCAGTGGGCTAGGTGTACAGGGATGACCTTTGCAACTCACTCAAATTCCCTTCCAGTCCTCTGGGGGAAGATGGCCAAGACTGGGCAGTGGGCCAGACAGCCCAGGCACCAACACCTGTGGTGCTAAAGAAATTCAGGAGAAAAAAGAGCCAACACTGCCTTCAGGAGGTGTAGCACTTTATCATCTGGAAGCCATCAACATTGTCTATGAGGACCAGACTTGGAGATCAACTATTATTTGTCATTTCTTTATGTGCTCTGGGTCTTGGAACCTGCAAGCTCATGAGAAGGGACTTCCCCTCCTTCTTTCTGCTCTGGTCACACCTAAAATTCTTGGTATTAGGTTTCTCAGCATTTGGCTGGCATCTCCATATCTCTCCCCTGGCTGACGAGGGGTAAGAAATTTCAGACCCGACTTCAAGGATGTAGGCTGAGGACGGAGCCTAGGGTGGGTTTTAGGCCCTTAAGCAGCAGCAGCAGCTACAGCTGCGCACCTATAGCTCCGTGGTAAGCACGCTGGACCTGTGTCCCTACCCCACCCTGGACAACCTGCTCCTGAGCTACTGTAAAGTTCCCAGGGGCTTCCCATGAGGATAAACGGAGTGCATGGGAGCTAACCCCAGTTTGCTCTGCTTTCTTTTCATGTTGCTAGAGCGAAGAGAGAAAGACCAGAGGCCAAGTAGATTGCGGCTCCTGCTGGTGGGAAAAACCGGAAGTGGGAAAAGTGCAACTGGAAACAGCATCCTGGGCAGGAACGAGTTTGAGGCTAAGCTGAGCGCCACGCAGGTGACCCAGGCAGTACAGAGCGGGAGCCGTCAGTGGACCGGGATGGAGCTTGAGGTGATCGACACACCCGACATTCTGTCCCCGTGTGTGCAGCCGGAGGCGGTGCGCAGGGCCCTGGCCGCCTGCGCCCCGGGGCCGCACGCGGTGCTGCTGGTGATGCAGCTGGGCCGCTTCTGCGACGAGGACCTGAGGGTTGTGCGGCTCCTGCAGGAGGTCTTCGGGCAGAGAGTCCTGGCTCACACTGTGCTGGTGTTCACCCACGTGGAAGACCTGGATGGCGACTCCCTGGGGGAGTACCTGCTAGAGACAGAAAACCAGGGCCTGGCCCGGCTGTACATCGAGTGCTCGAAGCGCCACTGCGGCTTCAGCAACCGGGCAGCCGTCTCTGAGCGGGAGGCGCAGCTGCAGAAGCTCATGGATACGGTCGAGATGATCCTGTGGGAAAATGACGGCTGCTGCTACAGCAACCTGGCTTCCCTGAAGGTCCAGCAAAGCCCTCTGCTTCTTTGAGACGCTCAGCAAGATCTTTTACTCCAAGAAGCAGCAGCAGCAGCAGCAGCAGCAGCTACAGCTAGGCACCTGTAGCTCCGTGGTAGGGGCGCTGGACCTGTGCACTAGGGGTTGTGGGTTCAAACTCAGCCTGGGCCTGGTTACCAAAAGAAAGTATACACAATGGCCGGGCGTGATGGCTTATGCCTGTAATCCTAGCACTTGGGAGGCCGAGGCGGGTGGCTGAGCTTACAGGTTCGAGATCAGTCAGAGCCAGAGAGAGACCTTCTTCTGTAAAAATGGCTGGGCGTTGTCGTGGGCACCTGTAATCCCAGCTACTTGGAAGGCTGAGGCAAGACAATTGCTTGAGCCCAAGAGTTTGAGGTTGCTGTGAGTTGTGATGCCACAGCAAGCACCCTACAGAGGGTGACAAAATGATACTCTTGTCTTCAAAAAGAAGAAACACAGCAAAGACAGACCACCGAGGGGCAAGGCTCAGAGGAAGTCAGAAAGTCAGGAAGGTCTGAGAGGAGTCAGAAAATTCACCAGCACCTGACCCTTTGAGCCCATGAAGGACTTGAGCCAGGGATTCCCTCAGCCCCTGCACCCCTATGTCCAGCCCCTGTTGCTCTCTCTATTCCGTGAAGCACTGCCCAGGTCAAAGTGGCTGGTGTGGTGAGAGGGGAGGGGGCTGGAGAACCGGGTCCAGAGTGCCCAGCTCTCATGCCAGGTCTATCAGTCCTCCTTCCTCCTCTGTTCTCCAGCAGCACACTGTCTGCATAGGGCCCTTCCATCTCATGGTATTGCATTTCTTGGGGGTACTTGTCTGTGCTCTGGTGGAAGTTTCTGAAGTGTAGGTTTTCTTCCCTGTGACTGCCACAGCTTCCTAGCCAAGGTTGACCCACCAACTAACTCCGTGTGAGCTTTAACAGGATGACTTAACAGATTTCATCCTTGCCTGTGAAGGGGGCAGACGCAAGAACTGTTAAGGCCACTGCTGTGTCCAGTGGGTAGTGCATGGCCATGGCAGTGGCTCTGAGAAGTGGGTAGGGAGGAATCCTTTGCTGGGGAGGAGAGGGAGCATGTACAGGGAGGAGCAGAAGGAGCACCCCTTTTATTCACTCTTGAACAATCACCAGAATGTCCCTTGGGAGCTTCCTAATGGGAAAGATGAGTGAGATCAGGGGCAGGGCATCCAGAAACCAGGCCCTGGTCAAGAAGGTGGACTCTAGCCCTGTCTATAGGATGTGGAGGCCACTAGAGGTGCCAGGTAGACTTAGGTTGAGGACAATGTATATCTGGCACTTCCCCTTCTTTCTGGACTGCAGGGCCCTCTCTGATGGCTGCCTTCTGGTGTTAAAGGCAAAGGCCTTTAACCTGCTTTATCTCACCTACAGCCCCACTCTCACCCTTGGCAGTGGGAGTGAATGTCTGAGTGTGCCAGTGGGCTCCCTGGCAAGTGTTTGTGGAAGCTGAATGGAAGGAGGCAGGGTAGAAAGGGGACCTGCAAAGGAAGCAGTTGAGAGACTGAAACATCTTGTAGGGCAGCCTGCCCCTTTATGGGAGAAATCTACTGCCCGTTGGTGTCTTCCTGGAAGAATATTCCCACACATAGGGCTAATAAGAAGCAATACTGGACAGGACAGGAAGGGAACAGAATGTTGGCCTGGATCTGACTCTAATAGGAAGCTGTATGCCTGAGAATTTTCTCAGACCTCAGATGCACCTTGGCTACTTTGAGGCTCAAGACATGCCTGGCAAGTTTGACCAATGGGTGAGAGGATTATAGGAGGAAATGGGGAAAATGCCCCCAAATGCATTTTCTTCTTTCCTTTTCTTCAGGTTGTGGGGCAGAGGGTCTCTATCTCGATACCTCTTCCTGGGAGAGATGGAAAGTGGAGGTGGTGGTGACCATGCTGGGGAATGGTCACAAATCAAGAGGACGCAACCTCAGGTCTGCTGTCCTGACATCTTGCAACCGCCTCCCCACCACACACTCTGAAGCCATCACCCATCTTCCCCAGAAACAGCAGATGGGTATTTCTTTTTGCTGAAAGTTTCATAAAAGTGTCTCCAAGGAGAACAGATAGATTTATTTTGTTGTAGCTAAGATGACCTTTTTGTGCTACAACCATTTATTAAGGGGTCAGTTCCCCACTGAACCGAAAATGCAGCATTTGCCATATATTCAATTCTCATACTCTATAAGATTTATGCCAGAAATTTCATTTCTCCTCATGTCTTCTACTTTTCTACTCCTATGGGAATAAAATATTGATTAGATTATAGTGGCTTTGATTATAATCTGATGAGCAAATTCATGAACTTAGTTGTAAGACTTCACAGACATTTACCTTTTTTTTAATTAAATCATAACTGTGTACATCAATGCAATAAATCATGGGGTACAATGTACTGGTTTTATATACAGTGAAAAATTTGAAATATTTTCATCAAACTAGTTAACATAACCTTCATGGCATTTTCTTATTGTGTTAAGACATTTATATTCTACATTTAGTAAATTAGGCATGTACCCTTGTAAGATGCACTGTAGGTATGGTCCCACCACTGATTACACTCCTTCTACCCAACCTCCCCCAATTCCCACAGACATTTTTCAAAACAAGACATGTAAACAGCCAACGTGAATTTGAAAAGATGCTCAAAATCACTAATCATCAGGAAAATGAAAATTAAAACCACAGTGATATACCATCTTACACCAACAGGATTATTATTAGAAAAGCCTGGTGGTGCCTGTGGCTCAAGGGACTATGCCACCAGCCCCATATGCCAGAGGTGGTGGGTTCAAGCCCAGCCCCAGCCAAAAAAAAAAAAAAAAAAAGAAAAGCCAGAAATAACAGATGTTGGCAAAGATACAGAGGAAAAGTAACAATTAATACACTGCTGGTGGGAATGTATATTAGTACACCTCTATGGAAAACACTATGGGAATTTCTCAAAGAAGTAAAACTACCATTTGACCCACCAATCCTATGACAGGGTATCTAGCCAAAGAAAAAGAAACCATTATATCCAAAAGATAGCTACACTATTATGTTTATCATAGCAGTATTTGCAACAGCAAAGATAAGGCATCTACCTAAGCATTCATCAACAGATAACGGCATAAAGACAATGTGGTATACACACACGATAGAGTACTATCCAGCCATAAAAAATAATAAAACCTTATCTTCTGCACCAACAAGGACGGCCTATATAAGGACAGAATGGTTACTCTAAAAATGGGAATAAGACAATGGAATCAGTCATGCAACAGAAAGGATAATTACCATTCCAGAACAATATAACCTAAACAAAGACCTCTCAGATCCTCAGTGAAAGACGAACAAAGGCAAGTCCAAAAGAACAGCAGGTATGGAAAGCATGTCTGTAATTTTGAAGTGCGTCACTTAAAGAAAGATGTGGATTATATTTTGTTTCTGTAGCTTAAACTTGGCTAAAAGGTACATATTATTCTATTTTACTATAGAGGTAGGAGAAGAAACTGATTAAAAAATAGAAGATTGGGCAGCACCTGTGGCTCAGTGAGTAGGACACCAGCCCCATATAATGAGGGTGGCAGTTTCTGACCCAGCCCTGGCCAAACTGTAGCAAAAAAATAGCCAGGCATTGTGGCAGGCACCTGTAGTCCCAGCTACTTGGGAGGCTGAGGCAAAAAAATCACCTAAGCTCAAGAGCTGGAGGTTGCTGTGAGCTGTGACACCACATCACTGTACTGAGGGCAACAAAGTACTCTGTCTCTCTCCATATATATATATATTTGTATTTATTTCAAGTACTTTTGTGCTACCAGACCGCTAATGAGTGAGTGTTCTTTATTGGGTTATAGGGATCACTGCAAATAGGAAAGTTCTCTGTTATGGTCTACATTTGTAACGGCCACTGTGTTTAAGCTAAATGCTTTCATAATGAAGCAATGTGTAAAGGAAAAATTCACATTAAAGACATATTAGAAATGAAAACAATTTAAAGAGTTATCTGAGATACCACATTAAAAATTTAGAAAAGAAACAGCATGCTGAACCTAAAGTGAGGAGGCTGAAGGACGTACTAAAGAAAAGAAATCATTGAAACAGAAGACCAAGAAAAAAACTCACATGAGAGAGAAAACAAATAAAACTAAAAATAGATTCATTGAAAATAATTAAATTGATAAGCCTCTACCTACATGAATTAATAAAAAGGGCAAAAATATACTTTAAAATTTCTCAACATCACAAATGGGAGTAAAACCATCATTACAGATTTTACAGATAATCAGCCGTAATCATGGTCTACAATAATGTGGTTTTAATGTGGCCTATAATAATGTGGAGGGGAAAGCAGAGTGTAAGGACATGTGTATCTCACATTAATGCCCAGCAAAGAGAGGCCAGTAGAGAAGGATCTTAATTAAGTGAACAAGATGACCCATTCTATGCACATCAGCCAGCCTCTTTCCCAGCTACATTTCTCCTGCCCAGCAGACTCACTGCATGGTGGTTAGGATGGAGGTTTTGCATATCAGCAGTAAGGGCGGCCACTCACTAAGCCCATTCCTGTTCTGAACAGGAAACTCAGTTTACAGCAAACAGGATGTGAATCCGTGATGGTCTACATTTGTAACAACCACTATGTTTAGGCTAAATGCTTTCACAATGAAGCAATGTGTAGACAAAAATTTCACATTAAAGACATATTAGAAATGAAAACAATCTAAAGCATCATCTGAGATATCACTTTAAAATTTTAGAAAAGAAACAGCATACTGAACCAAAAGTAAGGAGAATAAAGGATGTACTGAAGAAAAGAAATCACGAAACAGAAGGCCAAGAAAAAAAACACAAAAGAGAAAACAAAACTAAAAATAGATTCATTGGCAATGATAAATAAAACTGATAAGCCTCTACCTACGTAAATAAATAAAAAGGGCAAAAATACACTTTATAAATTGTCAATATCACAAATGGGAATAAAAACATTACTACAGATTCTACAGACATTAAGCTGTAATTATGCCTTATAATAAAGAGATTTTCAAGAGAAGGATGCAGAATATAAGGACAAGTATATCTCACATTAATGCTCAGCAAAGAGAGCTCAGTAGAGATGGACCTTTATTAAGTGGACAAGACAACCCATTCTGTGCACATCAGCCAGCCTCTTTGCCCAGCTTCACTTCTCCTTGCCCAGTAGGCTCACTGCATGGTGG